GGGCATGGCTCCACCCGCAACTTTCTCGCTAACACGCGCGCACCGCCGAGCCTGCGGCGGGCGCGCTGCGGCCGCACGTCTAGGGTTGTTAAATATCGGCGTGGAGCGCGCCTCGAGCGGGTTGTCAGACCCTAAATATTTGAGTCGGAGCTCTCTCGTGTCTTCTATGGCTTTGACCCAGAAGGTCGGCAGCTTGGAGGGGGTGTCCCTCCGTTGTTCCCCCGGGTCGAGGCACTTGGTGAGGTCATGAGCTTTGCAGGAGGTTAGTACTGAGGATCTGCCTATTTCCGCTCTAGCGAGCCACAAGTCGAGGAGGGTTTTGTACTGGCCCCTGCTCGCATCGAGGTACCTGAGGAGTGCTTTTATTCGTATGGCCTTGACGTGTTGTTCCCAGTCGCAGAGGGCGACTCCTAGGCCTATGAGCTCGTGTTTGGGGGGGGTGCCTCCGCCAGCGCTCCACTCTAGTCTCCTCGGGGCGTGTGGGTTCTTAATTTTCGTACGATCCTTCCTCTTCCGGGTCAAGCGCAGGGTGCTTGTCCCACATGAGGTGGTTTACGTCCGTGATGAGCTGTTCGTTGAACCATCTAGGGGGGTCCATCGTGAACGCCCAGTATCTGGGACGAGAGAAGATTTTAAAATTGGCGACGAGTGCCCTTCCTGTGATCTTCATGTCTTTGAGTCCTCTTAGGCTCGCCATTGAGACCTTGATTTTGGTGTAGAGCTCTTCCCAGAACTTATTTGATTCTTCTTGGGTTTCTTCTAGGTAGTAGGGTATTCCTAGTATCTTGGTGTAGCACCCTCTCTCCAGCCATTTGATTAGTCTGCTCCTCCCTTGTAGTGATGGCGGCCGTTGATGCTTCAGCGGCCCTAGTCGTATACCTTCGAACTTGTTCGGGTTGGCTCTCATTCCGGTGGCTTCCTCATATATCTGCAGTATTATCCAGAGCTCGTGTCGTGCACCTCGGGTGTTATCGAGGTATAATATAATATCAACCCCTGGCCCCTGCTGCCTCCCTGCCACGCGCGCGCAGGCGGGAGACCTGCCGTTGCACAGGCACAACGAAAGAGGCGCAGACCACATCCAGACGACCACCGTCTCAGCACGCGGTGACGAGCGCGGAGGTCCGCGCATGCCGATCGGGCGGTAGCCTCCGATCCGCGGCGCGGGCCGCTGCTGCTGACACTGCGGCGGCGGCGGCGGCGGCGATGGCGAGCGCGCCACTGGCGTGCACCCAGGGAGGACGCCCGTCGACCCACACTGCTCTCGGCCGGCCCACGCCCTCGCAGGAGGATTCGGGGGGCGGCGTCATAGGCAGCAGGTCGGCGGGGTGGTCCGGGCCCGAGCGAGGGCCCTCTCCCGCGGGGCGCACGTCACAGTCAGCGCACACGGGCGCCGCACGCTCAGACCTCGTCCTTGGCCTTGGACGGCGCCACGGGCGTCGCCGCCTTGAGCAGCTTGAGCTTGGGCGCCGACTCCTCCTTGAGCTTCTCGAGCTTGTCCATCGACTCCTTGTACGTCGCCTGGGGAGAGGGGAGGGGGGGGGGGGGGGCGGTGCCTCGAAAGAAAAAGCCCCGCGGCGGTGCCTTGGGGGTGTCTCGGCGCCTGGAGCTCCTTGAGCAGCGCCTCGTGCGTCGACTCGGCGTCGGAGAGGGTCTTCTTGAGCTCGGCCGTCATGGCGTCGCGCTCCTCCGCCGGCATGGCGATGTACTTCTCGAGGTCCTTCTTCTGCTCGTCCGAGCAGTTCTCCGGCGCGTCCACCGAGCAGCCGGGGCCGAGTTCGAGCGCAAACTTCTTGAGCGAGTCAAAGTCGCGGCCGCCCTTGTAGTCCTCGCCCTCCTCGTCGGGCGGCGAAAAGTACTTGATGGTGGGGAAGCCCTTGACTCCCTTGGCGTCGCAGAGCGGCTTGCCGTCGGCGGTGCAGTCGACGTCCGCGATGAGGACCTTGGAGCTGTCGGCCAGCTCTTCGGCGAGCTTGTCCCAGTCGGGCTTCATCTTCTTGCAGTGCCCACACCACGGGGCAAAGACTGTGCACGGTGCGGCGCGGAGGGAGTGAGCGGTGCGCTCTGTGCAAAGTGTGGCGCGAGGGAGCGGCGCAGAGGGAGTGAGCGGTGCGCTACTGTGCAAAGTGTGGCGGCAGGGGAGTGTCAGGGCGCGCACATTTGACAAAGAGCGACTTTCCCGAAGCCAGGCTGGCGTCCCACGTGGAGGGCGTCAGCTCGGTGGTTGCCGAGGCGGCCGCGAGGCCGAGGAGGAGAAGGCGAGATGTGCGCACAAACAACATGGTTTTGGAAAGCCGGGACGTGTCCAGCGGTTTAGGTGCTCTTGCAGGTGTGAACACAAAGGATTCGCTGCTCCGCTTACACTTACCTGTGAAGTGTGAACAGCGGATTTTGAATCAGCGTTCTCCTTGAACGATATCGGTGTCGAAACACCGCTCTGACAGCGCTCACAGGTGTGTGTTGTCTTAATAAATAAATAAATAGAGCAGTCATCT